TGCTTTTATCAAGTCAAAGTCAACCTTGACTTGAGTTAGTTTTCGAATTACTTTCGATTTCACTTCTTCTCTGCACGTGGCTCACGTGAATAAAGCTCTCTACTCGAGCTCTGGTCTTGTTCTGGTATTAGCCTGGGAAGGTCGGTTCTAGCTTTCAGCAAGGGATCTGGTACCGTTATTTGAGTGGTTTTCTCTATTGTTACGGGCAAACGTAACAACTCTCCACAGTTGGATGGCTTGAATCGGTGAAATCATCTACCAAAGAAATAACTTGTTCAGGAATAACTTTGCTTCTGCCTAGAACGAAGGTAGCCTTGACGTTTTGACTGCTATCGCTAATTTTTGCAACATCAAAACTCTCTCAATCACCGCAGTCAAGCAAGCAGATCACACATCTTGCCCTCCATTATCCTACCTCCCCCATTTCTCGACTTGAGAGACTGATAATCTGTATTCATAAATCCGGACTGATTTTACTCGATTTGGCTTCTCTCTCCTTGAGAAAGACACGCAAATGTTTATAATTCTTCTCTTCACGCCTAGGTAGTTGTGGCAAGAAGGTGATAGAGAGACCTATCTATGGAAAGCAGTTCTCTCAAGTAGGCCAGGAGTGAAGTAGTCATCCGTGAGAGGACAACAATCTGACGCATTCAAAAGGGTTGCTCTCACAGTTTTATGTCAAGTAAGTCGAAAATTTTAGCTGCAACGTGTGTCATTGCCAGTGATTTTAACATGCGAATACATGGAGAACTTGGAGGTGGTCACAAGAATCCAAAAATCCTTGTTTTGCCTTAACTGTACACGGGTGTTAGAAGTATGTGGAGAAAATTGACGTAGTAGTAGGCAACGGAATGCTAGTTTGTGAAAGCGTTTAACGGGGTCATTAAATGTAGTCTTGGCGTCACCAAATGTGGTCACCTGTGTTATATTTTCGTTGCTAATTTCAACTTACCCATTGTTTTAATGCTGATTCCTATTGAGCTCCTGTTGGGTGCGTTTATATTTTTAACAATTGTTGCTTATTCTGTTTATTGCCGTAATATTTATTATTTAAGATAAACGTAAAAGTTACGTGAATTTCTGAACCGGCTTTAATTACATACGAAGTCGGCATGTAAAATTGAGCTTGGGCTTCTAGGTTGTTGCAGGACCTCAGAACTAAGGAGATACTAGCGACAAGAGTTACTATCGCAAATTTACCCAGAGGCAACTTAAACGTACCCAAACATGCTTCTCGTTTTTTTGTAATCCAGAGTATTTAACGTTTAGCCAACGATTTGCATTCAAGAGTCATTGGGATATTGATTATAAAGGTGTGAAGATTACCCTGGATTTCTGCTTGATAAACAATGATGGGATCTAGCGGACTAGAATAAGAACGAGACAGTCCGCTACAAATGACTACACGTGAAATTAGGATTCACTTGACCCAGATGACAAGATCACTTTGTTTTGTATACAAGCAAGAGTTTGTGTCTCTTGACATGTTTAAAAAGTTGTCAGTGATGATAAAAAATGTCACTAGTCTCTCCAGGGTGTAGTATTTGGTATTTGACTCATTTCCCATGGGTAACGATTAGAAGTATGAGTGTTTAAAACTGGCAGGATATTAATACATTTTCTAAAGGACTAAGGTTCCTACAAACATTGGTCTGGGGTCAATTTATGTTTAACACATTGGAGGCTGCCAATATAGGACACGGAATTCAATTCAGGGATATTGAAATTCACAAAACACGTTAATCTTATCATATTGTAGTTTAGGTAAGGATAATGAATGTCATAAACAATGGCAAAAAGGAGAAAGATGGCGACCTCCAACAAAAAACTCTATTGGCAATAGTAATTTAGAGGTGCTGTCAAATTTATAAACTTCATTAGTTCTTTAATGCATATTCTCAGACAAGCCATGACCCGAAGATCTACAAGGAGATAAGTCTATGGTACATAGGTGATTTGACCGCTATAAATAACTTCCCAATTATATATGAAAAATAAAATTCTGTTGACCATTTGTTGTGTCATTAAAATAAAATTAGTAATTCTGATGTTGGACTTAAGTCTAGAAATTGACCAGATATCAAACAGTGTCTGGGTATAAGTATCAATGAGACCAAATTGAAGGAAATAAATTGAAAACGTGATGCTTAGATTATGCAGGATATTTTTTAAATTAGTAAACAAAAAAAATAACAAACAAAACCCGAAAATTTCACACAAATGCTTTTATTTTGAATTAAATGTTAAACCTGCAAATTTTTTTGGTTAAGTACAAGGAGATAAAAACAAATTTAATGAAGAAAATTTTAATTGTAATCTAGGTTACCTTGTTAGTTCATGATACCAGATATTGGGTAATTTTTCTAAGGTGATAAATGCTATAGGCCACAAAAGAACCATCGTTAAAAAAACAACTAATAGTTAAAATGAAGACTCGGGGCCGACGATAATCTATAATAATCAGTTTCCATTCTTAATGGTAACATTAGCCGAACTTTTCTTAATGACCCAGGATGGTCTGCTACAGGTAAAATTGATTGATGCATAGTCAAAATTACCCAAATTAGTTTGCAAAGTAAACAAAACTTTAATTGGTTAAGCATTTACAATTTTAAATGGAAGTAAACTTCAAAATGTGGTTTGAGAATCCCTAAATGGGTATAAGACAGGCTAAAGCAGAAATTTTTGAAGTACTCAGCAGTGATAAATTTGACCTTGCTGATGCTGACATCACCACTTTTTAGTAGTATATAAAAAATAATGATCTTTGTTATCCAGACTGTTGATTGTCCACGCCAAAATTAGTTACAATTAGAATTGCGCCAACATAAATTAAAGTTAGATTTATAATTGCATGAAGAGGAAATAGTTACGATCAGTTCATCTGACTTTAAAATAATATTTTAATGAGGTTTAGTATTAGTCAACAAGTCAAATTGGAGGTCGGCTGGGTACTATTTTGAGACGTCTGCGTTTTATCTGAGTGGATTACACTCAGTAGGCATTTTGTAATTGTGGGGTAGTTATAGCTTAGATTCAAAGTATGCTACTCACGGTCTGTACAGTGGGACTCTTGTCATGAAATTCTATCTTACATTTCGTCAACTGATGGTCTTAAAACGATTTTTAGCTGTTAAAAGTTTTAGCTATGTTTTTATAACATTAAATAGATTTTTTTTATTTTATTAACAATTTAGGCACGTTCAGATGGTATACAGTTTATGGGAAGCGGCCCAGAGCCTCACACTATCCGTAAGTATTCTCCCAGTTGCCTTGATTTTTTTTACATATTTCCTAATACCTTATTTTGGGACCGACTTTGTGTTAAATTTTGAATGCAATTTTGTGGTTCAAAAGTTTTAATTGTGACTTAATGCCCTTAAGCAAACTTTGATCCACAGATTTAATACTTTTGGAAATAAAAGTCTGTTTATGAATCGTGGCCGCATTGAGAAAACATTCTGAAGGGTGCTGACCATTGAAATAAAAGCTTACGTAAATATTAATTAAAGCCTCTAATTCAATCCTGGGACAAGAGGAACCAAAAGGATTAGACCTAGGTATCAAGACAATGGCGCTGAAGCAATTTATAGCATTAGTTGCTTGTATTCCACAAGTCCTCCAGCACAAATTTTGACAATTGTTCATTCACCAGTGTCCAAACAGAGCAGCAAAATGGAGCACAACATAACACTGCTTTGGGGACAGACGCAATCATAGGATGGAATCACACTTTTTCTCCGATTAATTGTATCTCGAGTTGCTTTTGTGAGTTGGCAACTTCAACTCCCTGTCATTAATTCATTCTTTAGCCCCAAGCGCGCTGCCTCGTTGGATTGTATGACTCGCAAGTTAGCCCGCTTGCCGATCAAACGGAGAATGCTCGTTTCTTGGTTGGTTGCCAGTCTGTGAAGCCTAATGGGAGCCAGGTTAGCGTATCCTAATTTAACCTCGAAAATAACTCCCAAATTATTTCATACTTTAATTCAGTGAAAAGAATTGCAGAGTGTGCGTGTGTATCCGCAGTGTATTCCTCCACTGTTAAGATGACGTTTAGTTTGGAGTTTCTTGCTATAGTCAAACTGGCTATCTAGTTCTTTTCTGAGGCACTCTGGAGCACTTAGTCACCTAATATAAAACAGTTGTATTATAAGGGAGTCATTTGCCGGTACGAATTGTACATAGGCCTTGTCATAATACCAGAGGATGCGTCTATTGGTACAACCAATCAATCTACATATTTGTGCGGTGACACATCAACGAAGCCATGAGTGGGTCGAGATTGATGTCGTTGTATCTGGCGTAATCCTAACCTAATCATTGCAACTTTGTGTTTTAGGTTCACTTGATAACTTTAGAAGACGGAGATGTGTGCCAGTCATTTTGTCTCAAAAGCCAATCCTTTATTCACCCCGATGGCGAAGTTGTCGGTTTAACCGTCCTGCCTGCTGCTCCCCTTCTCTTTGTTTCGGTATATTCATCCAGTACGTACTTCCTTTTTTTGTAAATTCAACACTTTTCTACGGAGTTTTTCGGAAATCCACTTTTTTTTATGGAATTATAATGTTCCTCGAAGCTGTTCTGTTAAAAAAATGTTTTAGCAAAACTCACAGGTCCCGATTTCAGTACAATTTTTGAGTCCCACTCATGTCTGAGGATGCAGTTGTACTCCTTTCCTGATCGTCGCTGTTGAGATAATGCCCGGTGTTTTCGAAACCGCTGTCTATATCTGATTTAGGACTTACACGTTCATACCCATTACCTTGTAAACAGGTTTAAATTTTACTCTCTATTGGTAGTCTCGGAGAATAAAACAGAGGTCACTAGCGGTGCTCGAATCTGGCGACTCCCGCCTCCATCTTCACCGGCTGACTCAGGGGATGAAAAGGAAATCGACTTTGCGGATCAACCCGTCGAGCAGTTGGAATTCGTTTCTAGCCTTCCCTGCGATGACTTCTCCTCAGTAAAAAAGTATGTTTAATGTAAATGTTGCAACTGGACCTGATCGGGCCCTGTTTTGTCAAACCTTGTATTGCGGCTCACCCTGTGTGTGTGTGTGTATGGAGTGATGCAAATCACGGCAGATTCGACCTCTAAGAGTCATGCTTTATGAGAATGTCCTGGCGAGGTGGTGCTAGGCCCTAAAGATGAGTGCGAGACAGGAAGTGCGCTGCTGGCGGCCGATCAAGCAATTAACTTAGACGATTTTAACCAGTGATGCCCTTGTGATTAGCTGCCTTTCCTTTGTGGAGAATTTTGTTATGCCGAGTAATGCAGGCGCTTTGTCTTGTTTCGCTTGACAGGGTCGCTGCCCATCCCTCAGAAACTTGCACCGATTTTGCGTGCGTTCTCGGACCTCCACTCCCAGGAACCAGTCAGTAAGCCTCTTCCAAACCGCCGGTCAAGGCACAACGACGGTTATTCCCACTCCACTTCAATCTTTTGTTACAGCATGCCCAACGGTGTCGCATCGGGACGCGGTGTATTTCCTGGCTCGAGTTTTCTGGCAATTCTGAAGGCCAGCTCGAGTGATGGCAACGACTACGCCATCGACTCGTGTGTCCAGCTGCGTCTTCCCAGTGGAAACACGAGCCTCGAGGAAACCCAGTCGACAAAGGGTGTCGTTTCTACCCCCGCAAACGCCATCCGCTGGTCGCCACATCGAAATGCCAGTACCCTCGCAGTCGCCTTCGACTCGGGGGTACTTGGGATAGACACCCGATGCATGCAGTAAGTTTTTTGCTCATGTAGGTCTTATTTTCTGACGCTTTTGTTGCTGTACTACTTCCCACTCCCCCATGACGAGCGTAACATCCTTCAATCTATAGGCAGGTGTTAGTGTGATTATTTTCTTTGAAAATTAAAAAGAGAATCATGGTTAGCTTAACCCGTTGTGGGTGCTTCTGATTGGCAGGGACGATGTCTTAATAGCGTTTCTTTGAGCATTGACTTGTCGAATTCCTATCTTTGAGTGTCCACTAGAACACACCATCGTTCATGAATATCCTGAATCTATGGAAGAAGGTACACCTCTTATTGTTCATTAATCTTCATCCCTTTACTTAAATATTTAAACCTGAGCTCAGAATTAATGGGCTTTATCGAAGAAGTCTGCATGAAGAGACGTAAAAACACTTGCGTGATCCTTAATTTGTAGGCCCTGTTTTTGGCTGGGAGACATCCATTGGCCGTGTGTTCGTGACCTTGACTTCAACCCCAACCAGGATCACATTTTAGCTACAGGCGGTGACGATGGGTGCGTCAGTGTCTGGGACCTCCGCCTCTACGGGTCTTCGGGGAGTCAGAATTCCGTCAACCCAAAACATGAGGGCTTCTCGTTCAGAACTGTCACGTCTGGTGGTGGGATAGGCTTGAAACCCCTGACCACTCTCTCAGCGCACTCTCATTGGGTGGGTTTACCGGCCAATCAAATGGCCGCAACTGTCATGCTGACATCTTGCTGTTTAGTGAAAATTACAATTACTACCGATAGATTTCGAGTGGATCAGATTTCTTCGACATTTTTTTACTTCAAGCAAAATGGCCGTCTAAGCTCTGGAGAGCCTCAAAAGGTCTCCGATTGGCTTGTTGTCGCTTGAGTAAACAGCTACAGAACCAAACAGCATGCTTGATCGCCCGAGTTCTGTGTTGTTCTAGGTCATTCCTTTTATGAATACGGGCCCACAGTTTCGAAAATCGCTTTGTTTTTCACACATACTTCCCACCTGATCAACCTGTTGTCTCTTTTTTCTGAAGATTTGGTCCGTCAGGTATCACCCGACACGTGATCAGCTGCTTCTGTCTGGAGGCAGTGACTCCTGCGTTTGCCTTTACGGCCTACCGAGTTTGTCTTCTGACGCCAAGGAGGTGAAGCCGCAGGGCGCCGCCAAGTCTCCCCCGAGGCACTGCTCACCCCCCTCCTCCTCCTCTCCCCATGGCTCGGATATTTCCATTGAAAGGTGCGTCTCTACGGTCATGAAGCCAGGGTTCACTGTTTAAATCGACTTAAGACCGCATCTTCCGACTCTGAAGGTCGCCTAGTTAACATCGCACGTTTCCAACCGTCAAATGTTAAAAATTCGTTTAACTGACACGAAAAATACCGTCGCTAATTAGGAAACCGCCATCTTGGTATATTTGTTCCCGATACCAGTGATATTTTTGTTTGTTGTGCTCCGTCCTTGTAGTCTCGAGGATGGTTTGTTGGCGAAGCTTGATCAGCACGAGGAGAGTGTCTACGCAGTCGACTGGAGCCCAGTGGATCCGTGGATATTCGCTTCTGTTAACTACGATGGACACTTCATCGTGAACCAGGTTCCCCACAAGATCAAGCTGGGCATCCTCCTTCAAAAGGACAATGATGAAGAGGATGATTTGACGGGAGATGATTTCGACAAGGTGTAGGAAATATGCCATGTCTATAAATATGCGCCCTGTGATAGAAGTGAATCCCCATCTGGGGCCTTTTTAATAGCCCATGTAAATTGCAGCTCATTTTGTCATACTCACATCAAATTGTGCGACTTTTATTGCATAATATGAACTCGGTTTCCGCACGTTTTACTTCAAGTAATTTAAAAAGTAACATTGGCTTGGTTTCCACAAGTTCTTGTGTTGTTTACCTGCCCGTAAATTGTGTATGCATGTCTGTGCTCACCTTGACTAAAGCATTGTTCAATAGAACCGTTGAAAAAACGGGAGATGTGACGGTCTACCTAGAAATTGTAATTTGAGTGGGCGAAATTTTCAAGTGTTTTTGTGTTGGTGTACGCGTCACTTGCTATTCATGGATAATCTACTTAGACTATTAGTAAAGGCGCTTACTTACTAGTCGCCCATCCTTTCAACTCTGTTAGTTTCACTACAATGGAATTAAGGAAACGCAATTCCACTAAAGATCACGTGCCTGAAGGGGGTCTGGTGTGTGGCGCATTCGTTCGCTGCTGCATATTTGGGACAAACGAACGAAACGTTGAGGGGTGTATATGCAATCTCCTGACTCCACGTTAAAAAAGGTGTTTGTAACAGTCTCCGCTGACTGGCGGAGAAAGCGTTTGCGAAGTCGGTACGAAATACAAAAAAGGTGATGGAAAAATAAGTTCGCAATAAAAGCAGTAGGGGGTCTCTGTGTGTGTGTGTGTCCATTTGCGACCCTCTCATCTTTCCCCTAAGAAGCAGGGAAGAAGAGTAGCTCTGGGACGTGGAAAGCCTCGCTCAGGAAGCCGGCGTGCTTCTCGTTGTAGGCGAACGTGAACTTGACCCTCCCGTGCCGTGGCGATGCCCTGGCAACGGACTCACCCTGTGGAGCTTTGTCGTCCGGTCTGGGGATCAGCGTTCGAGTCAGCACCTCTGAACGGGACGCCGTAGCTCCAAGGTAGCAACGCGTGCTCCTACCGTCCTCCGGTTTCACCGTTATCATGTAGTGCTTATCAGGAGAAAGCTGTAAAGGAGAAGGCGGTGGTTTAAACTAGGTGTTGTAGAGTGTACCGTTACCCAATGCAGATTTAGTCATAAGGAAGCTGTTCCACTTGCACGGTAGCTTCGCGTACAGGAACGTCGCACACGCCTGTCACCCCATCAGGACGTGTCTAGGTGTTTGCAGATTGTGGAGCCTTTTGCACGCTTGATAAATGTGAAATTACACCATGGTTTGTAACCGTATAAAAAGAAATACTTTTGAAATGTGCAGAGGGTGATTAAGAGGTTTAAAAAGATCAACTTTAATGAGAGACACTCGTTAAATTCGTTTGTACAAACTCGAAAGCCCCTCGTTCACAATTAAACCAGGCCTACCCAACTGGAAGCATTTTCATTGGTTGGTGCCGTTAACCAATAGCAGCCAAAGGAAGCAAAAAATTAGCCAATAAGATAGCGATCAGTGCTCTACCTTGACTGGCCTGGGGAATCGGGCCTCAATAATCCGGTTCGTGGGACTGTTGCAATTAAGGGTGATTTCGACCGAGCTTAGTGTGCCGCTGCGCGTCTTTGCAGATTTGAAGAGCGTTCTCGATGTTGTCGGTGTTGAAGCAGACGGTGAATTGGAAGATCTCGTTCGGCCATCCGATAGGGTTCGTCCAGAAGATCCATGTCTATACGGAAACATTTGTATCTTCGGTTTATAATGAGGTTGCACAATTATCGATCAGTTTGGGAAATTAAGATACGCCTAAGTTAAGTGATCATGATTGTACAAGTTGGGCAAATTGTACTACACCTGACGACTAACCGAATCCTTTTTCTGAGTCTATTTGACGATTTTTTAAACCTCAAATGTCAGCACTACACTGTATGCCTGGTTTCCCTTCAAAAGCCCACGAAGTGCACGATTTGAGGATTCATTTACTACACGGAGGATGTGGGATTTTAATGACTGCTGTGGAAAGTCAGTGCAAGCAAACCCAAGGCAGATTAAAATGTGACAGCGGGGCACATGTTTGTGCTACAGCCAGCGTCCTGAAAAACCCAAATGCAGAATCCTTGGGATCCATTTTTGGAATGGTTTCTGGTGGAATCGGAATGCAAGTACGTAAACAAGGGTAGGAAATCCCTTGTGGTTTTGGTACTTGATGCATGAACGAGTTCTTTGACTGTGCAAACTACAGATGTTACAGTTTTAGAGGTTGAATGCCATACATTGGTCTAATCATGGTATTCATTACAAAGGTTTACAGTCCTGAAGCTTCACTTATCAATGAATATGAGGGAGATTGTAGGCTCAATTAGAAGAGTTATCACAAAGTAGGCAAAAGCTTCGAGCGAACTACTCTCAAAAGATAAACTCTCAAAAGTGAACTGCAAGCTGGGAATTGTGCACTTTGAAATTAGGTGTGGCGAGCAGCAAACCAGCACGATCAGCAGGCGCGAGCGAACACGGTTTAATCGATTTTCGTGGCTGCTCTTCGCGCAACTACGTGCGTTCACAGATCGATGCTTGGCGAAGCCACATAAACGCACCTGTTATCGTGTACACAAGCACACACCGCTACTGCATCAATAAATAAGTTGAGCTACGCGCGATCCGCATTTTTGACTCCTTCTCTTGGTCGGGCTTTGTCAGTATATATCGCCGGCCCTGGTGTGGTTCCCAAAACCGCACCGGGGCCCGCTACATAGGATTTACGATCCCCTTCACTATGTGCAGCAAAATAAGGTAAACTAGTCAAAACGACTTGAAGAATATGCTACAAATTGGTGCATTCTTTTACCCCCTCCGTCGACTACCATCGCCGTTGGTGCGGAGGTGAGACTGCGACTGGATGCCCACGTGCCTTTGGCCGTGGTTGTGACGATGACCGCTACTGCTGAGCGTGGACACCCCTGTGCTTCGAAATGTCGTCCCCGAGCCGGAGCTTGTCTTGCTTTGGCTGAGGGTGCACTGCTTCAAGTCGATCTTTACCTTCAAATGCGTGTCCTTGTTCATAGGACCGAAGACGCCAACTCCAGCAAGAAACACTGGTTTTGAGACCTAGAAATGCAAAGAAATTTTCAACTATCACCATCAAAGGCAGAACTATGTAGAGTGCATGTTGCACCAATCAATGCTACCTGGAAGATGATGCATTCCGCGTCGGACCAGTACGCCTCCTTGGATGGCGGAGTTATAGACTGGAGAAATCGTCGACATTTGTGGAGCAAAGGGCCACGGCGTTTCGGGGAAGAGCCGTTGCTCTCCAGGAACTCGACTTCCTCTTTCTCGGATGAGTCCGTTGTCTCCTTCGAAGTTTCGTTCTTGGTGAACATTTTGGTGGCGATTTGGAGCAGAATGTTGTGTTGCTTAGGACAAAAGTAGTGCATTTTAAAAGACGTCACTTTCGATATGAGTAAACGGTATTTTGACTTCTTAATTGCCTAATGGAACTCAGATCCGCACAACAATGTAGAGGACAAGCTAGGAATAAGTAGAATCGGTGTGGCACTCTTCGTATTACACATCAAGTTCAATTCAATCTGTAACAATTTTAACTTGCTATCTGATTGGCTGACCTAGCGAAGGCAATTTTAACCTACATGCACAAAGCAAATTTTAGAATCAGTTTTTTTAAAGACTTTTTTCCCGAATATCGGCCAAAGGTAGGAGTGCTTAGTATTACTTATGTTCGGCGTCGATGTACTTTAGCTTTCTTACTTCTAAGACAAGTGACAACTAATTTGGTGGATTTAAAGTGACCGCAACTTGAAGAAGGATAAAAAAACTACAACAATAGTCGAGAAAGCAGCTTGTGTCTGCCCACTTCGGATGGAATAATGAACAACACTAGAACTCACCACTTCCAGGCTTAGAATATTTGATTTCGAGACATGGAAAATAAAGTCCTCGAGCGACATTGTGGTGAATCGAATGTGGGGCAAAAATTCTCGCATCATTGTGGCAACGTTGTTGGGGCTTGGATTCGAGCCCTTACGCGCGCATTCGAGTTTGCACCAACGCATCAGGGCCTCGAAAATCTCCCACTCCTCGCAGTAGAGAGACTCCCTACTGATTAATTTCAGTAGCGTGTTGCGCTCCAATTCGGGGAAGTGGTCAGAGATCAGCACGTCTGGTGTCTACAACAAAATTAAATACCTGTTGCTTTCTGAGCCGTCACTTTTCTCTAGTTCTTGTTGTATTGATTTAAACAAGTAGTAAAAGGGATCGGTTGCAGATGTTCTGTTTAGCATCGATGTCGATGTCAAACACCTCTAATTGCCGACCTCGTCATCTCACTATCATGGTTGTTCTCAAGTTCTGTGGATGTCAAGAGACAGGGAATGTGTAGAGCAGTCATGTTTTAACCAACATATCTTCAAAATAAACAACGAACGATTAGCTGTTCTAGACTTAAGAATCAAGCACTGTGAAATATAGTTTTACCTACTCTAGCTTCCAGATTTGTGTCAAGAGAGGCATTAGGATAAAACTACGACAGTTTGCAGGCCGAGGAACAACTGAAACGACTGACTGAGGCCTCCTCAAGTCAATTTCGCCTTGTATGGACTTACGAGAACATCGATTGTGTGCCAGCAAACACCTATGAGGTCCTCTTCGTCCATGGCAGAACACCGATTCAGTTGAAGTAGGACATTTTGCGGAGCCATCAGTTTCTACATGGAAAATTCACACAAGTAAATGATAGCCATGCGAGCATTAACCATGTCACCATCTAAAACACAGTAAACGCTCTGATTCAAGTTTAATTGTGCTTGTGACAACATTGTTGGAGTGGTAATTTTGAGTCGATCTTCGCGATATGGCGATGAGTCCAGCACTTCGTTATAGTACGTTTAAAAAGCACAAAGAAAGCGTGTTTTGGTGCTGCCAAATCAGGTGCATTAGACTAACTATTAATTTGGAAATATCCCCCGAGCAAAATAACTTCAGGCTTGTGAAAATGAGGAAACTTCCAAAGCAACACCACCTGGGGGCCCATTTACATCGCAACTCTTCCCACGCCGAACGTGGGAAAACCCCTTTCGTTGCCTGTTTCCCAGCTCTGCACAGATCACCGGGTGTCCTGTCATTCACTGGAGTTTCACGAGCAAACCAACGATAAATAAGCCAACTGTTGAATGCAGTCTACGTGGTATATTCGCTGGGTTTTTGAGATTCATAAAAAACAGCCTGCAGTTCAGTTGAGCATCTCATAGGGCTGCAGCCAGCCTCAAATATAATGGCATTTTGAAAACTCAGACCGGAAATAAGCACACTCGAAGTTATCCAGAAGTTAGATAAATGCGCGACATTAGCCATTGCAATTTTCCAATAAGTTAAGACGAAATGAAGTTTTAGTTATCAAAAAGTGGCTGAATCATGACCGGATAATGGCAAGAAGGACTTGTACAGTTAAAGTTTATAGGCAGGCCTGTTCCCTTGAGCAATCCGGATGGTAATTAACCCCCCAATTTGTAACAACTCTCTTTAACTACCGAGCCTTTAATTACTCGTGTTTATTTAGAGAGTTGGGGCTAATAAATTAAGAAAACATCGCTTTTCCTACCACCATTGCCTGCACAAGTTAATGAGGAGCTGCATTTGTAAATCGAGATTTTGTGCAATGTTTTGCTTGATTTGAGGGCTGATTGCAGCTGTCACTCAGCCACGGTCTCAACATATTTTGGACGGAGGACCATAAAATTAAAAAAAGGAAGTTTCTTCGCCAGGGTTTCTGCACAGTGGAAAACTCGCTTTTCTTGTTCATGCAAGGCGTGTCAACACGACTTGCAAATTCGCGCTCTCATTACCCACGCTTACTCATTACGGCCCATTAATTATGCTGTTGCATTAAATTAATTTCACGCAAAGGAGTACAGGGTGAGTGGTAAGGACACAACTTTTAAAACTGGAGAAAACTCAACTCAAGTTGACAAGATGAGTTAGAATTTGGGGAAATTCATTATAAACACAGGCTTTGCTACGCCTAGAAATGACTTTGGAGGTAGTCGTGGGCCATTTACAACGTGTGTGACGGCAATTTAAACCTAAATTGGCGAAAAGCGCTTCAATAGATTTGCAGTAAATCGTGCTGATTCACGTCCAATAACCCGGTCGTCGCAGCCTTAAACACACGTCCCCCTTTATCGGCGCGCCCGTCAGTCACGCGGTTTCTCCTGCTCAGTCACCCCTCTGCATGTACTCCACCTCCCGCTGTGTCCACGTGGCCATTCAGACGTCCGTATTTTTAATAGTCCACTCAACTGTATCCGTCAGCAAACCACAGCTTCGTTGAGCTGTCTAGTAAATGGTTGTGCCTCGCGTCCTCGCTGGTCTTCATCTTCTTTGCGGGTACTCAGGGTAGGGTAATCGGGCTAGATTCGACGCAGTGGCCCCAGTGTGGTCCAAGACAACCTGCCGGGAGCCTCAACAGATTCCTGGTGTCTTCAGTCTGTGATTAAGTGATATAACAACTTCAGAACTAATTGACACGACCCAGTCAGATGGCGTCGACCAATGAGCTGCGTGCAGTGCGTCTTCCAAGGCGACAGATGCACGCCCGGCCATGCAGACATTTAATGGGAATATTTGTCACCAAAATTGCTTAGTAAGATATCACCGTACAAACTGGACGTTTTGATCGATGTAGACCCCGTAACTCCGCAGAATTTTCAAAACCTTCTACACAATAATAAACACTCACTATGCATGGCTGTCAATGACCATGCTTTCTACAGACAAAATCACTTGTCAGACCTCTTTGACAGCCTTGGATATTTTGTTTGCCATTTAAGAAGACGTTTAGCTGCCACTTCAGCCGTTTTACTTGCAATCTGACGTTTAATCACCTTACCCTAAGGTCGCTTTTTTGATACCAAACAATTCTTAATGGACATTCGATCAACTTGCGTCTCTTTAAAGGCTAAGAAATTAATTTGATTAGAAGATACTAAATCAACTATTTAACCACATGGAATACCACGCCATTATTAGTTTTCTTCAAATGTAACTTAGTTATGACCTCTCGACCTTACCCTACGAACAATGATTAGCAAAAAAACCACACTACTGATGCAGTTAAACTCACAACAAGACGATTGGTGCAGGCAGTGGCAAGAGGAGTAAGAAGGTATTTCTTGGCAGCGTAGAGTATGTCGTAGAGTTCTTCGACTGAATCTGTCAGCGTCATGTTATCATAGTAAATGTAGCGAAGACACTGCTGAAAGGCCTACAAACACGAGAAATTTTGGGATCGTAAGTAGACAGAATGTCACTAAGGAGGGGGGTATTATAATGTCCTCGTTGATGTGTTCGGCAATTGTGCCCTATTCTGATTAGCATCCTTCAAATTATGCTTGACCATGTATCTCCGAAACACTACACTTTCCATATACAAAACTGTTGATTCAGGACTCTAGACACCCCAAATTGTTCGAAGCAGAGGAATTCTGATGCAGTCAAAAGATTAAAATGAAAAAAATTAATACAGAGGCGCCTAAAGGAATTTATTACTGGTGGCAAGGCACAGATGCGAACACTTGTCAACGCCAGTGGATGGAAACAATTGTCCGATTGGACACAAGGCAGTTAAAAAGCCTCGGAAAAATATTATTAACACATTGGAGTATTGTTGTGGGCCCCAGCACGTGGTCTTGAACCACGCCGGGGCCACGGAATTAACCCTGGTCCGATTACGCTTGCCTAATACCCGCGATGAAGAAAAAGACTGGAGAGGACTTGGACACAGCCGTTTACTTCAGAACCCAGTCATGTTAGTGTCGTTGTGTAGTGTGTGGGGTTTGCGCGTGTGTATTTATGCCTCAGATGCGTGAGTCATACATGCGCTAACATCGAGACCTATGTGTGGGGATATTCCAAGATAAATATCCGGTAAATGAGGGAGGAGTTGAGGGTCCGCGCGGCTGGCGACATGCTGCAAAAAGGGGAACCCAGTGTCGGAGGTGCAGCGATCGGAGTAAGGGGTGTGAATAAACACGATTCACAACAGTACTTAGTTAAAGACGTCCGTCTTCTAGATTGTTCGCGATAGAAGTCATTTTTACATCACTTCGACACAGGGGGAAATCGACACAGCAGAGCAGGGTTACACGAACGAGGCATTAAGCAGTTTCGGGGCAAGTACCGCAACCAAGCACGAAAGACGAGTCTCCTGAATGACCACCTCTGTTGTCTTATCGATAAGGCAACTGAGTAATTTACTTCAAATTTTTACTGCTTTAGATAAGGGTCAATGTATTACCAATAGCATCGGAGGCCACTGCTTAAATTTCGAGGTGGCTGTCGTGAGGGTGATTAAGTGGAAGGAAGTGGCATTGTTCCATAAATATACAACTAGAGTCACTGAACAATCTAGCCACTTGAACGTTTCTACTTAACCCCTAGTTTCAGGGTTGATGTCTGGAACGTGTGATGCAAAATACAATGCCTGTAGAGGAGGGAAATCGTTATTATCAAGGTGAGAGGAGTTTGTAAATGGTGCTGGCAACTTAATTGTTGATGAAATTGTGTGTGTTTGTGGATTTCATTTTGATCTACCGAAGAATACAAATGGCAACAAAACCAGAATTTAGGAACCGAAAGGTCGCCTTTTGCAATCGATGACGAATCAAAGCTTGATTGTGCCTGTAGAAAGGCATAACAGTAATATACGATTCACCTTCCATGGTACTAATCGTTGAGTGTTAGTGCTTAAAGGTAATAATGCGGTCTCTATAACGCCATAAATAGATTCACTTTATTGGTGCTATAGTTTCAACCAATCAGGTAAAGACCATCCTCAAGGTCTGTCATAGGCTGATTTTGTAGTGCAAATCGCTTCAACTGCCGACAATGTAACAAGCCTTTGCAGGGGCCATGCCATGGAACAATGCCTCTCACTTAACAAGCACAAGTTTCTACCGCGTGACGTCATAAGCACACATGGTATTTGGTAGTGTGGGTGAGATCCGATTACAATCTTGTGCGAATTATTTTCGACGGAACTTGGAATTTTTGACTAGAAAGAGGTCTTCAACTGCCAGACCAGTATCGTATTTGGGCAATCTTTCTGATTTGTAAACACAAAGAGCACCTCTTTATCGATAATCGATTTTGCAGCCCGGCACAGACTTAGCTCCTGATTGGCCTACAGTTGGTTGTGAATCGTGTTTATTCAACCCCTTAATCAGGTTGCTCCACCTCCCACACAGAGTTCCCCTTGTCGCAGCATATCGCCAGCCGCGCGAATCCCCAACTCCCCCTTCATTAGCAGGAATATTTATCTTGGAGTATCCCCACACTTAGGTCTTGATGCTAGCGCATGTATGACTCACATCCGAGGTATTAATACACACGCGCAAACTCCACACATGGCAAACTACACCAACGTGGTTGAGCTCTGAAGCAAACGGTTGTGTCCACGTCCTCTCCGGTCTTTTTCTTCATCGCGGGTATCAGGGAAACGGAATTGGGCCAAGGTTAATTCCGTGGCCCCGGCGTGGTTCAAGTCCACATACTGGGGCCCACAACAAGTTCAACGCGATGTCGTGATTAATCACAGGCTGTGGCATTTACGCCGACCTGAATGTACACGCAATTGGTCGGGTGATAATTGTGATTGACGCCTTCGTTTGCTGTGCGACGTCATCGTCTGCTGCGTATTCTTTAATAAAAGCCCATGAAGGTTGCACATCACCCGACTCGTCAATACGCAAGAAAACCAATTACTCCATAAGGTATCATGTGGAGTCACGATCGTGGTACTACTTGCACATGCAATATCTTCAAAGTGGACTAAACAAGTAAATCAAGAATAAAGTTTGAATGACATGAAACAAAGATGGAAATCGATAAAGGTAATGTCACAAGGACCCGAGAAGTAGCTTGTCGTCACTGTGAGCTGCTGACCTTTCGTCAAGGCGGCCCATGTTAGAGGCATTGCCAAAGCACAGCAACCGAAGCTGTCAGTCACATCTAGCACGTGGCGGCATAGCTTGTTGTGCGCAGATCTTTTAATGCTCACACGCGAATTACTAATCAGGCTATCGTGTTTAACAGTGAAGTAGGGCACCCGAGAAAACACCACGTTAGGAAATCGTCGTAATGCCCTGTGCTGATGCACGTCCATCAACTCGGCCTAGACACTTCAGCGAATTCCAAAATTTTGTGTGCATGTCTCAAAATCCGCACTGATTATGTGGAAACGTCTGAGCATGCATCCGTGTGGACACATCTCCGTCCACGTTTGCAATGTATTAGCGTGCACGAAACTTGGCCTGGGTCGTCTACTGAAGAAATGTGCTTTCGTTGCTTCCAGTCTTCTTAAACTTTTCGCGGACCTGCGTAACATAACTGGTACGCTAAAAGCGATGGCCCCCATAACGTTCTCAGTCTTGGCTTGCTTATTGGTTCATCACAATATTAGACACACTTTTCAAATAACAGTTAATTGATGCAAGTTTACATGGCTTTAGTCGGCCACTCCACCCCTACTTTTCTGCAATATTTGGACGTCATACAAGTTTACTAAACTCTATTCACACCTTGCTAATGTTCACGCAAACGCATAACGAAAACCATTATTTAACCACTTAATAAAAGATGCCATCATCTTTTCCTGATACCTTAATCCTGTCTAATGCGAACGACTCCATTAAAACAACGTGCTCTGATACTGCCAACACCATCAGCCTGTGGTTTTATGACTTGTTTACGCAAAGTTTGGATCAGTGACGCAAATGTGGCTGTTTGAGTTCGATGCTTTGTTCTAAAATTGGTGATTTGCAGATGCATCTATAAATGCAATAAAAGCATAACACCCACCTCTGCAGTGACGTCTGTCACATGAATTTCCTGCACTTCAGCAGATGTAGAAGGCAACATTTTCTGTCCCTTTACATCCTTTGTGCCCTCCGCAAACGCACCGAAAAACATGGCTTCGAAGACCGGAGAGGCTGTAGCCAGGACCAGTCGATGCACGCCAAACCGCTTCACATCGGACTCTGCGTGGAGTGTGGTCGCCGTCACTGAAGAATCCGGACTTGGTGGTTGAACATTTTGTTTTAATTGGGGGTCCCCTGTTGGTCCTCTTTCGCTTGGCAGCATATCGATGTCAGAAATATCTGAAAGCTGACACATGATCGCCGTATTGGTCATTTCAGCAAGGTAAGGAAAGTCAGAGGGGGAGGAGGAGAGAGGAGTAGTAGTGGTTGAAGATGTCGCAGAACAATCAGAACCTGGGTCGGTGGTGCGTAAAGCAAGCAGCATCTCGGTGAGTTTTTTTGCCTTCTCGGCTGCGGTGCTGTTTTCTTCCGGTGACTGATAACCTGACGGAGATGCCTGTCGACGCGATGTGTTGCCTGATGCTCGAGCTATGGCAGACGTGATCCTTCGCTGTTGCTCTGAATTCTGTTTACGCACTGCTGAAGAGGTCGAACGACGTGGTGTCGGACCCACAGGCGGCTTGGACGAGAGCACACTCGCGGACCTGGTGATGCCACCGTCCGTACGGCTTTCATTTCCTCCGCCAATGTAAAAGTAGACGTCCGCAAATCGTTCACTGTTGAGCACGTTTTGTAGACGATCCTGAATACCCTTGCAGCTGCTCTACAAGAGGAATTGAATCGACTCATATTACTTGTAGTTGTATTAAACAGGAACAGGTATGGACACCCAACTATATTCAGGTGAGAGGAGTTTACACGATTTGCATGCAATACCTTACAACTCAGCTAATTAACAATCCGTAACAACGCAAGAACAGGGGTAAGAGAGACAGCAACTGACGCGACGATCAATTAGCTGCAGGTCAGCCTAGGGTGTGAGTGAGCGTGATTAACAGGCGACTGATAGAAGCAACTGATGAAATAGCGGTAAGTCATTGACATCAGCAGGTCAGTAAGTGAGCTTCACTTATGCGCGATCGCTGACGGTCAACTACACTGTCCATACTCCTTTCTGACAAGTACGATTCATTCCTATTTCATGGAGGTTTTTCTGTTGATAGTTTTTTTTTCAAACGAAATATCTTGATCTGAACCACGGTGAACACACGGAGAGGTGACAATTTATCGGAAGGGGAATTCTTAGATTGGTTTGTGGAAAGTTTGCGACTGAAAATTAAGCAATTGATTAGTCTACTGTACACACTCTCCAGTCCACCGCCTGGAAGGTATTGTCGAACTCCTCAGGTTCGCTGCTGTTGGCTCCAGTATTCATATCCGAAATCAGTTCTTGATAGCCATCGTCCACCACCACAGCTTCCGCTTCCTCTTCAATCCTCGTTCTGCTGGAAAGCCTTCTAGTATCTTCAATTCCCGGTACATGAAACCTTCGTCCAGACTCCTGAGGACTCCGTCCACCACGAGACTGGAGAAGATGCCAGAGTGGACGACTCCTTCCTCCCCTGGTAAGTGGTAGGGCAGAAGAGTAGATGGAATCTGGAAGATCGACAGAAACCCACGGCTGGGTAGTGAGGAACATAGGCTCATCATCTGCCTCTTCCTCAAAGTCTTCCAAGGTGGCGTACACATCGGAAGAAGCATCGATGGTGGTACCGGACAGGAGGGCTTCTGTGGGGTTGCTCCCATCAACACCAAGGCGAATTGTACTCGAAGCCGCTCCTCGATTCGAGTTTACAAGCGATGCTTAAAAACAAAAGACAAAATCTTACAAGGGAATTTTGACAAGAAAGGCGCGGAGGCAGCCTGTGGCTTATCACGACCTTTAGTTAAGTCACACACTAAATTAGAGTCTTCCAACCTTATTTATTAATTTTACGTGATTTTGAACATTTGTTAGGAGTATGTTTAAAAACAATTTTTTCGGTAAAAATCACTATGGCTAAATTGATAAGCCAAACGTTCTGATTCTCAGTGCACCAGGCACCATACAGCCATGTGGATTTATCTAAAATCATGATCTGTTTTGCACATGACCTAGGAACTATTATCCCTTTGTATTGTTCCAGAATTACCACGCAACACAGTTGTCATTTGCATTTCTCAGGCATTGCATCAAATTGGTAGAATGTGTGGAACGTGACAGGAGTTGCATTGAATGACATTAATGACCTCAAAATTCTTTTCATTCGTTAATTCGATTGCAGAAACAGACTAGAGTCGAGCGTATGCATTATAGAACCTGTTGACTTAACTAAGATATGTAGACTAATTTGCTCTAAATACACTAAAAGGACTTCGGACAAGCAGAAGCTCTTAAGTCGACGCTGCGGCAGACAAACGAAGTTTCCGTGGATTTACTGGGAGGTTGCTTTGACCAGGTTTGATTTGAATGCAGTTGGAAAACTGCAGAAAGCAGAATGGAGTAAAAGTTAACAGGGATATGCAATTGACACCAAATTTGCCACTAGAGAGACGCGATACGTTCGTCATTGTCGCTACCAAGTACATATATACCGCAGATGAAGGTATTTCAACAGTGAATATCTAGAACTCATTCCTAACCCTCTTATCGTCTAAATTTGTGTTACCTCCTGTCTGGCAAGCGGTAATCGAGGTGGTCCTGCTCGACGCCTGTCAAGCAAAAGGTTAAATTACACATTGTATAGGTATAGGGAAAATGTTGTTTATGAGCCAATGAATTACATCTCTGACAGATTGGTTTTACTGGAAAAACCTCAGATGGTGCGTGGTGCGTCGCAAGCCACACTGATTGTGAATTGTGTCGTCTGTCAGTAGATAGTTCAACAGTTCAATCTTCAAAATCCAAGTGATTTCAGACCCTTAGTGACAAGGGGCAGCTTGACTCAATCAAATCTATCCTTCACTCTAAATGATTTTCTTTAATTGTAAAAAAGATGAATAAAAACGCTGTCAACTTGGCAAAATCCGTAAACTTTCCACATCGTTCAGAACTTTAGCCCCCGAGAATTCTCGCTTTTCCGTCAAAATATCCATGCGGTCGAGTTGCGTGGCTAGAGAGCCGTCACGTGAGATCATGTTTTTTGTGTGTTCATGAGATTGAGGTTCTTTTACCACTATCCTGCCTCATTTTATTGTTCAGTATCCTTTGCGAATACGTCACTTCTTTAGAACTGAATGGGAAGACTTGGGAAATTCGCACGATGCTTTTAATAAATCTGGTCATAACAAATTTATAGCGAAGGAAGCGGCTTGAAATCCGTTTGTGAGTTTAAGTCGACACGATTTACGTTGAAGCTTTAGCTCACTTGAAACCCAAATAACCCATTCAACTGTGTCAATTTTAAACTTAGTCAAATTACACACGTTTCACATCAAGGCCGACACTACGCTAACCGTATTTCAATTGAATCACGTTGTGTGAAGAACTATACCTACAAAAGAGCATTTAATTAACACACCTACACAAACATCGGAACTAAAATTTGCATCACCCCAGCTGCTTTTATGTTTAAGCAGAATTGTTGAGTCAATTTCTCCATTTCAAAGTTATCAAAACAAACAAGGGCATGAGACGCGCATGAATTGAATTTCAATTTATCGTCATGGTTACGCAAACAAGGTTGTAATTTATTGACTCCTGGCGCTGACGCGCGAAAGCCTTGTAGGCTTGCAGAGAAATTGCAGTTAATGTTAAGCGTGTAGCGGCTTATTTATTTTGAAACCAGAAGGTCAGGGAAAGTGGTGTTAGGGGAGACTATCAGCGTCAACTTTAAGATACAAACTCTTTGGAGCAAAATCCAATAGACCTGTAACATGCGTCGTGTTATTTTAACACAACCCTTTGTTTTTCCATATTGGTTTTTTTGGATCACCATTTAAGTCAAAATTAAACGGTGTGCATTCATATTTGTTGTAGACATTTATCGGTTATTAAGTTTGGTGTTGCAATATGTAACATTTAAAGTAACACATACACGTTGTCAAAACCTGTGCAGAATTTCATCCACGTGGAGGTAGCCGAGCAGTCTACCTGATTATATTTTACTACTGTTTTTCGTTGTATGGAACCTTCTTTTTATTAGCTCTCAACGCCGTAAATGTTTAATTTTTTATAAGATGGCGATAAATTCAAACAAAGATGGCGCCTAAGAATCGCTCCAGAAATTGAAATAAACCTCGCTACACGGGATTTATTATCCTCGATTCCGGATGAGTTTATTTATGTGCCACGACTAGCATGATTTAATGCTAATGAGGTAATTCTGCAAACATCAGCAGGAGTATTTTTCAAGTACTTTATACTTAGCAACCCAGATTTGTGTGTGAGAATAAATTTGCATTTTTCATTCCACGTCGAGTGTCTTTTAATCCAATTGGTTTGTGTAATTGATTACCTTAAGCCAATTCGATAATGACATTGCAAGCACTAATGAAGTAGAAACGCTTCATGCTTAATGCATTGACTAGAGGTAGACCGGTCCGTCATTAGACGGTTGTGATCCGAAATTAGTCACCTGCCGTATAATCAGGCTCCACTCACGGCACTGACCGCTCTTCTTGAATTAATTTCCAACTCGCCACACTCTGTTGACATCAACTACCACAGCAGGCGTAGCCGTTCTTCTACTACTCTCAGTAAATAAGCAAAACAATATCTAGCATTTTACTCACGTGGATTTCAAAGTTCGGCTTACATCTTGGTAGGTTCAAATGAAGCTGAACCAATTACAGGGTAATGATCGTTTCTTCATTTGTTCACATTGTTAGCATTTGTGGCTTTCATTAAGATGATTTTTGCTGTCAATCAGATCTATTTTAAAGTGGTTGAGAAATTCAAATGTACATGACCTAGCAAGCACTTTGTAAATACCATGTTGACCTGTCAAAATAATTTGAGTAGCACAGCGTTATTTGGCATGAAGACTTGATCATTTTAGTTTCAATTAGTCTGTACAGAAATAATTGGTATTAAGGAGCAGCGCATTAAAATAAAATTAAGCAAAGTATTCTGAGATTCAGACAGGACACCTCCTTAAGCACACAGCATTACAAGAGAGTCGGTGCAGACCAGAATAATCAGTTCAAATTATCCGTATTTTCTCGAAATTCCAGGGAACCGATACTAAACCTCAGCCCATGTATTCAGCCTCATGACTCTACACCCATAAAAATGCTAACGGATTTCCAGGGCTTGAGTTCACTAAATTCCAGAAATTAACCTCGATTTATCATGCGTAAAACCAAAAAAATGGGGCATTTTCTTGAAAGATAAGATGCCAACATTTGTAATTCTTTTAATTTGTGAATTAGTCTACGCTCACTGACCATCTGAATCAGAGTTTTTTTATGCAAACAGCTGGTAGTAAATAGCAAAAAAGTGTTCAAATCAACAATGCAACTTAAGAGCGCCATCTTACATGATATGTTCAGGAAAATTGGTCGTAATATGGTGGTTTCCTCATCAGGTGGAGATTGTCCCGTTTCCGAGGAGCTGGCCCTGTCGGTGCCCGAGAAATCGGTTTCAAAGTCATTCCTGAGGACAATGTTGTCGTCAAGCTCCCCATCGGTTTGACTTCGCGATCGCAGAGCTGAATCCTCAGCCATTTTTCTCAGAATCGCAAAAATTAACGGCGCTGAGCGCACACTGATGAGAAGCGCGCGATTGTGCCTGTAATAACTCGCTGGATTGCACTTGATCAGCCAATAGGCGAAGGATGTGCACAGCGACGCCTCTGTGCGAAAAGGCGTGAGTGTACTTCATCTTAGTCGGCTAATCGCGATACGAAAAAGGTCTTTAGGTTGCAAATTTTTGTGACTGTGCGTAAAACGCCATGCAACGAAATCACTCGCCTTTCGTACTTAGGGAAAATTCTTGCAAAAATCCTTGCAGAGGGGTTGCAAATCAAGTCTTTGTGTAAAAGAATGGGTGATTTAAAATGTTTAATTTCTTAATACGAAAGAATGACGGGTTTTCACAACTCTTACGACACATTCGTAGTCTGCGGCTTTTGCATTGCTGGCAAAACGATGTATGGCTTTATTAGTGTCACACTAAGCGGTAAGAGGTGTACGTCGATAAAATATCGGTGCCCACGAGATTGGTCTTTGAGTGCAGCTACAACTGACCTATCACAATTGACCTTGGAGTCAAATTCAAAACCGCTTTCATCAATTTCAAACATTTAAACCCAAATAAACAAAATCTTTGGCAATTATCTGACCAGAAAAGCCAACAAAATCAATAACTTGTAATCGGCTGTTTGACAGACATGGCACTTTTGGTAAAACTGCCTCCGCCTACTCAAGTGATTGTGGTTACTTTTAATAAATGTCGTAAAACATCCAGTAACTGCTCAGATACGCAGATCGTGTCTGGCTACACCCATCAATCGTCATAACAATACAAGATCATACCACATTGTTTTTAAAATCTCGTTTCAGCGTTCACATGCTCTTGAGTTTTCAACTTCACATTCAAACCACGACCTTCAGAGATATACAAACGCGTGGTGCGTGAATAAATAATTGCATTCAAAACGCACTGGCAAGGTACGTAAGCGCAGTTGGTCAACATTTGATTAAGGGAGTCTTTTAAATTGAATTACAAAAAACATTTTCTCCGTGGATAGCCAGACATCGTGCGACCGTCACACGAAATTAGCGCTGTTTTACGATGCATCCACACACGGAGTTTCTTGCGCATCGTTACTTGAGGTGCCATAGCTAGTCATCAATATATAAAGAGTTAAGTACCTGAAGCGGTACTCTGGTAGCTTGTATTTCCTTCCTTGGTTTCGTCCATATCGATTAAATGGTAAATCAACTGCTGGTGAAACAAATTCATTGGTAGAAACCATTTTTTTTAAAACGGTGCGGTAAAAGCTAATTCCACTGAGCTTTGAATACTACTGCTGATCTAGATTGGATCCTAACTGCATTAGTTGGAAAGTGTTTTGTTCTTCCACAAAAGTATCCACTTTCACAAGATTGTTTGCAATCGGATACACGCAGATCCACGTAATTTTTAAAAAAATATCCTACACACAACTTATTTAATGCCTCTGAGTTTAATCGCCCACATTTTCATCAGGGTGACAAATTTAAATCGGTGGAATAAGAGGGGAATGCTGTAATCCCAAAGTCTTGAGCTTGAAACAAACAGACTTTTTGTTTATTTCAGTCGCTCTCAATTATTGCGCAGAAGGCAGATTGTTAAAGTGCATTTAACGAATAATAATCTCCGAATGCACTTTTACTTAGAGCTTCACATGCAAGCTTACCGTGGTAACCGGAGGGTATGTGATCCCCAACTGTTTTTCTTGTTAAATATTGTCATTTATCCCTTTTTATTTCATGGGAGTTAAAACAACTCCTACAACTTTTGCGAACCGAGTAGCTGCCTATCGATTTGATTAATTACACAGACTTTTTAGCATTGTTCCCACACTGCGGTGTTTGACAATTTGAACAAAATACGGGAATATTTGTGGGCTCATTGAACTTGGTACGATATATTACAATGAAGGTGTTTTCACATATTGGCACTCCAAATTCTGCTCCCAACTCAAGTTTCGTTTGATTGATTTAGAGAAAACATCTTCAGTGACCATAGAAGTACGGATGATCATTTGAAGACGAATACAAAAAATCGATTTTCTGAAGTGGATTATAAGCAATCAGTTATCATCTTTGCTATCCAACTAGTTAACACGTTACTCCATTTAACTTTGCATTAATTTTGAAGGACTTGAAAGACCATCTGCTTTCACCTTGATGTCATGCACACCAACGTCTTTTTTTTTAATTTGAAACCACCAACAGACTGTTGTGTCAGTATTGTAATTGCTCATATTTGTTTGTCTCCACAACGGTACAAGCCAAAACTCTCTCTCTGGGGAGTGAATAGGCCTGTTGTGAGCCTCGGGATTTTGACTCAATCCACACCGGGGTCACTGCGTTGAATCTGGCCCAAGATAACGAAGACGGGAGAGGTCTAGGCAGAGGCCTTTATAATATATCTCAACCTAGCTATGTCGTACGTGCCCCAGTCGTGTGTGTCAAATGCAATTCCAGTGAACTAGTTGCCACACGAGTGTTTGAATGGTCAGATGGATAAAGCACGTGGTGTTAGTGCATGAACAGGGATAAGTGAGCAGACGGTCACGCTGTGAAAAGGGGACAGTGTGTTTTCGAGACTGAGACGGCCGGGTCTATGGACGTAAATCACTACACCAGCAATCGTACAACTTCAATCAATGCAGACTGACGTTTCTGTCTTCGAATAATGAGCGATCTGGCTTAAATTGCCACAAAGTTGAAGGGTTAGCTCTCGCCACCAAACCATTGTGCGCTGTTTATCCCAACATGAATGCGATTGGCTCATTCGAGCTGACTGAGGTTTGCGTCAGTTGAAAGACAGCATTGACTGTGGGGCACTTGTTTATTATAGTTTTAGGATAAATTTTGATGGAGAAATTGTGGCAAATGAGCTTAGTCCGTTGTTTGAAACAGTGTGAAGGAAGACGTCTTGTAGAAGACACGTGGTTCCCCTTCAGTGGTTCAAGTTGAGGCCTCAAATGTTGGTAGGTGGGATGATCATCGGTTATTTGGCAACACATTAAGTTGACTCAACTGAATAATCACGAAAAGGTAACTCGCAAATACTATTTATTGGCTTCCTATCATGTGCATAAACTGATCTTGAGGCAATACCAAAATAAATCACTACTATGCTTAAATCAAACTTCGCTTGGATTAGACAGGTGTGCTGGTAGGGAACAGTCAACAGAAGCTTCTCCGGACAGGTCTACTTTAAGCTGATTGGTTCTTGTGGTTCAGTGCCACCCTTCATTGGTCGTAGTTACCAAGTGCTCCATAATCCCGCCCACGCACACGTGACAGTGACATCACGAGTAATTCCACCTTTTCTCATCGCCTTCTTACCCTCAGCCTTGTTACCTGATTCTCTGGGTTTCAAAACGAAAGAGTTCTGAAGAGTATGTAAATTAGCTACTTGAAATCACTAGTAGTATCTTTAATACGTTAATATTTTTAGAGACTATGACCACGGTAAAAAGCAGTGAACCATGAACACTGAGGACACGGTTAAGGCACAAAATCACCACAAAAGACCCCGTTCAGAAGTCCTTGAGCCCGAACTCTTTAGAGCATCCATAGCATTAAACAAGTCTTTTGCCATTCCACCTGAGTCGCGTTAGTTTCCACGCCACACCTAAACAACATTGCTTGCCACCTTATTAATCCCGGGTGATTTGAATTATCACTCAAATTTTTGGCCAATCATTTACGTTGATTGATTTGCGATTGGAAGCCTCTTCCTCCTATTGGCTGAGGACAAACAATGTATCATTTAGAAATGCTTATTTTAGAACTTTTAATGCTTTTTTAACATGAACTTTCGACTGTTTCAAAAACTGTTGCAGTCCCAAGTCCAACAGTCTTATTTGGCGTTAACGTTTCAAAAAGCGTGTTTCATCTTCATCTCAGTGGTCCAGCTAGGCATTAAAATGACTGCAGCTGTGACAACAAGTGTTTCATATGAGCTAATTAAGCCTCGTCTTAACTCCTTTTTTTAAACATTTTTCTCAATTTTTGGCTTAAATGAAATTAGGTAAATTATTTACAACATAAACTGGTGGAGGGATGTTATGTGCACCATATCATTTCACACGAAACATGACAGAAGTAAGCGCACACCAAATTCTGATTGGTTAGAGGAAAACACATTTTTGCAGTGTGTTAAGGTAATCATTCAAACAAGAGAACTAGACCGACAACACAGCAACATGGAACGCCACTCTGAAAAAAATCAGTGGTTTTTTTTCAGGACAATTGGTGGTGTTGGTAATATGGAACCATGTCACGACATGATTAACTGGTCTGCTACTGCTAAGTAGGCATGTCTATCAGCCACTCTTACTGATTCTTATTGCAGGGATTCGTGTTGATTCATGTCCAATAGCCACCCAGGCCTCGCAGCTCCCAGCGCACGTCCCCCCTTTTCACGACCTCCCCGTCAGTTACGTGAGGCCATTGGTTCATTAACCACTGTGCATGTCCCACCACCACCCGTTTTAGCCATGTGACCTCACAGACACCTGTGTTTGTTGTTGTACACGACACAACTTGGTTTAGCTGTCAATTAAACGGTCGTGCCTTCTCCACACTCCGGTCTTCTTTATTTTCGCGGGAACACAGGGTAACGTAGTCGGCGTAGATTGTCGCAGTGGCCCCGGCGCGGTTCGAGACATGCCGGGGCCCCCAACATCATCATGTGAACAAGGAACAACGCAGATAATCCATGTCTGACATTTCGTGCGTAGACCGACGTCCACTGATAACTACCAGCCCATTCATCCTAAACAAGGACCATTAATTTACCGTCGGGGAATATCGTGGGTTGGAAGTTGCAAGTACAGCCGTAATGGAAATACACATCATTTTTCCCACCAAAGCATGGCACAGTTTCTCGCTAAAGTGCTTTCAGCATTTGTTTGCGAAACACGAATGCATTAAAACAAATAACCCTCGGAAGCCGACTCATTTTCTCAGTTATTGCTTTGTTTTGCCTCTCAGTGACCATA